TATATATATATATATATATATATATATGTGTGTGTGTGTGTGTGTGTGTGTGTTTTAAAAAGCGCTTAGACTTCAAGTAAAAATTGGTTACAATCCGGTAAATTAACATAATAACGGATATTTTAGCTCAGCGGTGCCCATCTTTAAGAGCCCCGGACCATGGATATATTATGTGCTCTCGCGGTTTACTACCTCCCAGGAGTTCCTGCAGGTTTTCTTGCGAGAGGAACTACCAGTTAGTTGGATGTCCAGTTCTCTTCTGTGACCACAGGAACATCCAATGGAATCGTCCACCACCAGAGTGCAGAGGTGTAGTGGATACTTCTTCGTCTGATTTTTTTGTTTTAAATCCAACAGAACAATTTAACTTTATAGAGTTTCAAATCACTCAATGTCACAAGTACGTAATATAAGAATAACAGTTTGATTAGTTAACCACTGTAACTTACTGTCGTTAGGCCTCCATAAGTTAACTAATTTGGTTATACACCTAACTGAATCTGTGAAGAACAAACTGTCATTAATCTATGCACGTGCATTAAGTTTTTTTTTTCGTTATTTCTTTTGTATTACTTACTAAATATTAGGTATTTACAACGTCAGTTTTCGGGGGAACCTGTAAGACGAACCGTTTAATCAAGTGTGTTTGACAACAAGTTGTTTTCACGGTAATACAGTCCAAATTATACTCCATATTGTACTGTTTCTCATCATCTTATTAACATAATGTAACTAACTCGTATCTTGTTTCTCATCATCTTATTAACATAATATAACTAACTCGTATCTTGTTTCTCATCATCTTATTAACATAATGTAACTAACTCGTATCTTGTTTCTCATCATCTTATTAACATAATGTAACTAACTCGTATCTTGTTTCTCATCATCTTATTAACATAATGTAACTAACTCGTATCTTGTTTCTCATCATCTTATTAACATAATATAACTAACTCGTATCTCGTTTCTCATTATCTTATTAACATAATATAACTAACTCATATCTCGTTTCTCATCATCTTATTAACATAATATAACTAACTCGTATCTTGTTTCTCATTATCTTATTAACATAATATAACTAACTCGTATCTTGTTTCTCATTATCTTATTAACATAATATAACTAACTCGTATCTCGTTTCTCATTATCTTATTAACATAATATAACTAACTCGTATCTCGTTTCTCATCATCTTATTAACATAATGTAACTAACTCGTATCTCGTTTCTCATTGATGTACCTTATTTCGTCACTGTTTTGCACGATGCAAATATTTATCGATTTTTTTTGTGTGTGTGTCCAAGTGGTCATGTATAACTTTAAAACAGCATTAACAGGGCCTATGTGGCATTTTTTAAATACCTTGGAGATGGGGTTTAGTAAATAGGTCAGCTTTCATGACCCAGTTAAGACATTTATGTAATTTCTACTGGACGATGTGAAACAAGAGAGCTTTTAGTTCAGGAATGTCCATTCTTAGCAGCTCCAGACCAAAGTTTCGTACTCTCTGTACTTACTGGTTGGAAGTGTCAAGGTGGCTCCAAACAAGGTCAATGGACTTTCGATGACGAGGAACCCACTTTGAGACTAATAAT